ATAGTTTCTATTGTTGTTACTATCATTTTTATTAGGATATTATATGGTGTGTTGTAATCACGATTGCTTAAGAATTAAAGGAAACTTTAAAATCTGGAATTCTGATGCTAGATGAGCCCTTTCCAGGCCCTGTAGCTATTTGTTCTTATTTTACAGAAGGGAAACTGAGGCCGAAAGAACCAGGGGCCACACTGGTATTTCAAATTAGTGGTCCAAGGGAGCTCTGGAGCCTGTGCTGGGAGTGGGTTGCGGGGCGCAGGGGAGAATCGGGGCTTTCAGGGCCGATCTGTGCTGCTCCACAGATGCTGGGAGAGGAACCGCACCCTGCTGGATTTGGCTTCCTCACTGGCACCGGGATCCGGTGACACAAGGCCTGGCACTGGGTTGGGCCGTCATTGAGTACACAGGCTGCCCACGTGTAAGCCTTGTTCATTCAGCAGGTTGAGAGCAAAGCAGGCTGTTCTCTTCCTATGCCAGGCACAGTTTGCAAAAGGTCTGCAGGGATCCAGCTTCTCTGGCCAAACCAATGCTGCCCTAGGCTGGTGGCTGGCTGGGAGTTGTCTCTTCCCCTGAGAAGTTACTGGAGATAACCATTGTCACTGACAGCGTTTTAGTCACAAAAATTGCCAACCCCGCACCCCTGGTCCCTTTGGGTAGTGTTTATTTTTCTCAGACTGTCTCTGGAACCACCACTTCCAGGAAGCATATCCTGATGACCTTAGTCAGGAATGAATAAAGTGAGGGGACTGGGATAGGCACAGAGCTAGGAAAAGCATTCCAGCCGGGGTAGGAACAAGCGCAAAAGACCCAGGAAGGAATGAGAATTCACATCTACCACCATATGCCAGGGGCTTGCATTTCATGCCTCCTCACCTGTCTTCTCCACTAAGCTTTTGGGTTTAGAGTACAGGCGAAGGTTCATCTTCATAATACGATCAGTAATATTGTTGCCCCCATTTCTTTGCAGCTCTGCCAGGCTAGGCTACTCGGTACATACCATACTTGCATTATTACAGGTAATTCTCAGAAATACTGAGAAGATGGGTGTTCCTTGTCATGTCTGCTTCCCCAGGGCCTAGTTGGGGAACTCAAGCAGAGTAAATGCTCGGTAAATGTCTTTTCAATGCCTGCATGACTAGTGGGACATTTGAATTATAGGTCCACAGATGTGTCTGTTGGTTTTTATGGAAATTGACTCCTTTGCCTCTAAAATTCATAATCCCCAGACTGTGAGAGGACGTGAGCCATTGCAAGACTGTTCATTCATTTCTGCTCCCATTTCTGACATGAGTGAGAGCCCCGCTAGGGACTCCCCATACATAGTCTTGAGACTCATGAGTGGCAGCAGCCCTATTTCCCAGAGGAGGGAGCCAAGGCCCAAAGACCTTCAGCAGCTCCCCTGCAGTTACACAGCAAGTCCGCAGTGACCAGAGCTGCAACTCACCCCCACCCATCGGACTTCCCTGAATTCCTCCCACGTGGCATGAATTTTGAAAGGTCCTTGTTTAAAGACGTAATCCAGACCAGTTGCCTCGACCCTAAGTTGCCTCGACCCTTGCCTAGAAGTGATGTAAACAAGTTCACAGTGTTCTGAGAAGGAAGCAAGGTCAGAAGAATGACCTGCCGAGGCCAGCAAGGCTGCATCTCCTCCCCATCCTTTCTGCAGCATGTGCTGAACCAAATGTGACAAGCAGACTTGGGCCCTCCCCACTAAAATTTCAGCCTCTGAAGGAGCAGAGCATGAAGTGTTCGATAGATCAGCTTAGGGGCAGCTGGTATTTGGCAGCATGTGGAATGGTCTTTTAATTTTATTCTCAAATTCATCAAGTATCAGCATAGATTCTGTGCGCTCATCTGAGGTAGGAAAGGAGAAAGGTGAACTCCAGATCAGGGAAGGGACAGTGTCAGTGGACAGAGTGAGGCCTTAACCATTTTCTGAGGCTCCCAGAAAGAAGGGTTAGGATGCTTTGAATGTGGGGAACCCTGGAGGCAGGAGGAGGTGAAGGAGAAAGTCAGAATCTAAAATTGTGACCTGGAAGGGGATAGGAGTGGAAAAGGGCCTGAGATTTGGCCTGTCATAAAAAGTTGAGGTGGTGAGCTCTGCACCCTGCCAAGGCTGAGCCAGGAGAAGTTCAAGTCCCTGAAATCATATCTACCCCCCACCCTTACTGAGAGATGTCTGATATGTCCACCCCTGTCACCATGGAGACGCCTCGATGCTGTCATTTACAAAGCCCATACTTTCTAGAGCTCTCACTTGACTGCTGCTAAACCCTGGCAAGGTAGGCAGAGTATTGGCCCTTGTTCCTTTCTCAGTGAGTGCACTGAAGCTCCCTCTGGGTCAGCAGCAGGACTGTCCCTATTGTTGTTGGACTGCGGATCTGCTCTGTGCCAGGTACTTGTCTAGGTGCTCAAGGTACAGCAGCAAACAAGTGTTGTTCTGTTTTTTTTTTTTTTGCCAGCCAGTAAGTTAATTTTTTTTTAAATGCCTTTTATTTTTTTTTTTTTTATTGCATTTTAGGTTTGGGGGTACATGTGAAGAACATGGAAGATTGTTCCATAGGCACACATGTGGCAGTGTGATTTGCTGCCTTCCTCCCCTTCACCTATATCTGGCATTTCTCCCCATGCTATCGCTCCCCAACTCCCCACCCCCCACCGTCCCTCCCCTATGTCCCCCCAACAGACCCCAGTATGTAGTGCTCCCCTCCCTGTGTCCATGTGTTCTCATTTGTTCTCTTGATGCAAAGTGACATCAGCCACATGCCCATGCGCTCTTGGAGGTAGGAAGGAGGGTGATCGTCCTGAAATGATCGCCATAATAACATATAGTAAATCATGAAATGTCAGTGTACAGTATCTCTTTCCTGTGGTGGAAAAAGGAGGAGACATGCTTCATAATATAGAATGGACAGGATGAAGTTTAATAAATTTCATTCCATCGGAGATGAGACAAAAGTGAGCTGTCACACAGTTGGTGAAGCACAATCCGTGGGGCAGGGGGCACATTGTCGCAAAGGCCTCAGAAGGACTGGGGCCAAGCAAGCATGTGAGGAACAGCAAACAGGCTGGGTTGGAGAGAGAGGGAGTGTGACCCAAGAGATGGTCAAGGGTCCCTGGATGGTCACCCTGCAGCCGTGGCCAAGCCCTAGGCCTCTACCTGGATGAACTGAGTCACCGTTGGAGGTTTGGGGCAGAGGAACCTGGGCAAAACCTGCACCCTCTGATTCCAAGATCCACACTTGTTCCACTGGACCTTCCCTCGTCACACAGGGAGCTTGCTTTTCTTCTATTATTTCCACAGTTGTAATTCTTTGCATAGCTGCTAAAACAGTGAAACTGGGGGTGAGGAGTCTGGCTTGCGCTGGGTGAGAATGGGGTAGAGGAGGCTGTGGACAGGGCTCCCCCTGCCTGTGGTTTGAGACTCTGCCTTCCTCCTCCCTTTCTCTACCCCTAGGGTTTCACTTTTTCACCTCCATCCCATCTCAGCAGCTAGCAAGTCTTGTGGGCCAGTTCCACCTGCCACCTTAGCTCTTAATTTATTTCATACACAATGATGACGTCAGGTCTCACTGTGTAGGGATATGTGCTGGGTTCTAGGGAGTTTAATGCAGGATTTCTTTACCTCTTTTCTTGAGCATACCCTGGAGAATCCTACTTTCCCATCAGCATCCACGATGGACAGGGGAAGTCTGGGGGTAGAATGCATAGCTGGAGAAAGGTCTTGGGCTCATGCTTCTGTTCACACACACCCCACACACACAGACACATGGGAAATTGGAATCACAAATGTGTGGCACAGGCAGAAGGTGTGGGTGACCTTAGTCAGATGTTAGAACCTGGTCAAGGACAAGGCTCTGGGAGTGTGAAGGGCAGGACAGAAGACAGAGGCAGCAGGAAATCTGGGAAAGATGGTTTTTGTTTGTTTGTTTGTTTTAGGACAGAGTCTTACTCTGTCACCCAGGCTGGAAGGCAATAGTGCAATCTCAGCTCACTGCAACCTCCACCTCCAGGATTCAAGCGATTCTCCTGCCTTAGCCTCCCAGGTAGCTGGGATTAGAGGTGTGCACGACCACACCCGGTGAGTTTTTGTATTTTTAGTAGAGATGAGCTTTCACCCTGTTGGCCAGGCTAATCTTGAACTCCTGGCCTCAGGTGATCCTCCTGCCTTGGCCTCCCAAAGTGCTGGGATTACAAGTTTGAACCACTGTGTCCAGCCAGGGAAAGAAACTGGTCTTGATATGAGGGTGTCGGCCTCAGAAGGATCAGATGATAAGAGTCCACTCCTGCCTGAACATCCCGTGCTTCCTGCCTGGTCTTAAAGAGAGGCAGCTGGTATAGCAGAAAGAGAAGCAGTGTCAACTTAGGAAGATGTGGAATCAAGTCTTCTCCATTTCCCAGCTAACGGGTTTGGGGACATTACTCAAATTCTCTGGGTCTCGATATTCTAATCTGTAAAATGAGATATTAATATCCTACGTGTCTAATACAAAGGGCTATAGTAAGGCCAGTTGTGAGTAATGTGAAAGGTCTTTGTGGACTGTGTTCTGTTGTGTTAGTTCGAAGGCTGCCGAAAGTTGTAGACAAAGCAGTGGGTTTCCCGGTTGGTTAGATCTCAGTTTGGATTCTGTAGCGTCCTATCATTAGGCAAATGTGACTTTGAGAAAGTTACTTAGTCTCCTGTTCCCTTATCACAGGGCTGATAATAATTGATTTATGGTTTGCTAAGTTGCTCAAGGTTTGAGCTCCCCAGTGGATTTTCAGCTGCATGAAAAGACCTTGTCAGTCTTGTTCACCCATGTGGGTGTCCTCAGCCCTGGAACAGTGACTGGCAGCTAGGAGGTGCTCATTGAGTGATGTCTGGCCAGTCAGATGAATGCATGAATGAATGAATGTCAATGAGGAGTCTTTGGAAACACTCTAGAGGGGTGTGTTATGCTGCTGGTGGTAATGGGTCTCCGAGCGCCCTCAGGAGCTTATGTTCTCCTCCTTTCTTGCAGGACTCGGGTCAAGCTGGAAAGCCTGGAAGATGCCTACATTCTACGGGGGGATGACGATTCCCTCTCTGACAAGCATGGCTGCCCTGCTTACGTAAGCCCAGAGATCTTGAACACCAGTGGCAGCTACTCGGGCAAAGCAGCCGACGTGTGGAGCCTGGGGGTGATGCTGTACACCATGTTGGTGGGGCGGTACCCTTTCCATGACATTGAACCCAGCTCCCTCTTCAGCAAGATTCGGCGGGGCCAGTTCAACATTCCAGAGACTCTGTCGCCCAAGGCCAAGTGCCTCATCCGAAGCATTCTGCGGCGGGAGCCCTCAGAGCGGCTGACCTCGCAGGAAATTCTGGACCATCCTTGGTTTTCTACAGATTTTAGCGTCTTGAATTCAGGATATGGTGCTAAGGAAGTGTCTGACCAGCTGGTGCCAGACGTCAACATGGAAGAGAACTTGGACCCTTTCTTTAACTGAGCTCATGCCCCCCGAGACTTAGCAGGTACCAGGAGTGAGCGAGGGCAGTGGAAAGGAGTTCTTCCAGGGGACACAAATCACCTGGCTGGGTAGCAAGAAAGACACTCACACTTTTTTCAGTTTCTTGGTTCAGAGAAGGAAAATCTTCAAGGAGCTGACCGACCATGTAGCATGGGGGCAAGAGGTGTGCGATGGGGGTTGGGGTCAGATGGATGGGAGCCCCCCCCGGAGCTTGTCTTCCCTACTGTCGCCTGGGAGGCCACCCCTTGCCACTTAGGCCACTTCCGCCTATCCCACTTTTCATTTTGTTCCAAAATAGTTGCAGATCCTGACAAAATCAAAACTCTCTGCCTCAGACACACATCCTGGCATCGCACTGTTAGCATTTAACTTCTTGTTAGGATTCAGGGAAGGAACAGTTGGCCAAGAATTTTTTTTTCCTTTAAACAAGCCAACCACCTAGCTGGTAATTAATGAGGTTCACTTACAAAAAAAAAAAAAAATTCGGTGCACACAGACTGACATGAAACCTGGGTGCTACACTAAAAGAAAACAAAAGTCTAGTTTGTGTCTCTTAATCGCTCTCTTAACTCATTTCTTCTAAATAAACTATTTAATATCCTGGTCAGGAAATGACATGTTAATGCTTTGCTCCCTGAAGGGGAAAAAATCTGTCCTTTAACAAGCTATTCTGTTTTGTGTCAGTTGGTTCATGGCAGGAAGCTATTAGGAGTCGAACGTCCAGATGCATTACTGCTATCTTAGTCTAAAGGGGGGAAAGAAAAGGGAAGAAGAAAGAGAAAGAGCAATCCGACTCCTTTTTCATGTTTTGCTTTTGAACGGTGAGGGTTTGTGTGACAGGCATTCCTCTTTGCTGAGATGACAGCAATGGCCTGAGATTTTAGCAAGCTCCTGGAGTCTGACGCTTTCGCAGCATTCTGATCACAATTAAACATTTGTCTTTGTTTTATTAGAAACTAGTGAAACAAAGCAGGTTGTCCTACATGTATAAAATACAGGGCAGCTATTTAGTTTTCTTTACGAAGAATGATCCTTTTGGCTTGTAAGGCCCTGGATAATTAGCTGAAAGCTATGATGATATAAATAAAAACAGCTCTCTATCCCAATACGCACCTTTGTATTTTCAAGAACGCTTCTATTTATTAAGGAAAATGTCACATTGTGATGTATTAAGCCAGTACTTCAATTACGGGTTGACTTGGGATGACATATTACATGCTGTAGTTAACATTTATAATTTTTTTTCCTTGTTTGAGTATTTCTGTCTCTGGAATAACCTTTTACTTGGCTTTTCTAGATAGCTTTATTTGATTTTGAGTGGCAAAATGTTTTTTATTACGGCTTTTCTATTGCTGTATGATACAGAACTCTTTTGGCATAAATATTTGTGTTCCCAGTACCTCACTTGTTTGGATTTGACTGCCTGTATATGTTTTGTGAAATGGTCCTGTTTTTGGGTAGGTGACACGTGGACTCTAGTATGTAAATGTTACTTGAATCTGTGCTTCATTATAGTGTGTGGCATGTATGTGCAGACTCTTGGATGCTTTATGCCTGCGCAGCGGGAGCCTGTCCTCACGTTCTCAGGAGGGCAGTTTCACCCTTCGTAACCAGAAGACAAGGCGGCCATGGATTTGCCCTTGATTCTATTTTGCTAATGGAAGATATAAAGGAGAGAAGTTTTTTTTGTTGTTGTTTTAATTTTTTTTTTTTTTTTTTTTTTACATTCTGAAGATGGTGCTGTGACAAGAAGGACCTTTATTTCTTCCCTCTCCCCTATTTTTTAAGTACCTTGTAGGAGGAGAGATTGGTGACATGCATGGTGGGGATCTATGGCCTCTGGTGCTTTGTCCTGTATTTGGTTTAATGTTTTCGTCCTAATCTCTTCAATCAATAAAATTGTGCGTATTTAACTAAAATGTGGGAGTCTGTAAAATGATGACTTTTTTTTTTTTTTTTTTTTTTTTGCCACCTGTGCTTTGTGGCCACCACACGCCATTCACCCTATCAGGGTGAACCACTGCTCCTACTTAGAAGACATGGAATCTCCCTTTCATAATATCGAGGCATACGCTGAACAATCTGGATGCAGTGGCTCACACTGAATTAATCGTCACCACCACTGCAGGTGACCTGACTTATGTTCCTAATGCAGATTAGGAGATAAACCCGGAAATGCGCATGCCTTGTCCAAAGTTAAACGACTTGTAAGTGATAGGCCCAAGACTGGACCCCATGTCTGGTTAGCCCCAAAGCTTGTTTGCTCTTTATACAACGTTGAGAGTCCAGATGTTCTCAGGGAGAGTGTACCAATAGCTCTGGAGTCACCAGGATTACGTAGGGCACAGGTAATCCAGGCTTACACATGGTTTCCCCAGGAAAATCCATGTGCTTCCAACTTGATTGGAGCTTTCCTAGGGGACCACCCAACTCCCAGCAGCCCTTACTTGAGTCTAAGATCTGCAGAATATCAGGGCTGTAGGGGATCAATAGACAGTTGCATTTATAGAGCACCTTATTTAACAGAAGTAACTATGGCCCAGAGAAGCTCAATTCCCTCCTGAAATGTTTGCTGAGCACCTTTGTTATTTCAGTGTGTGCTGGGAAGAGACATGGAAACGGACAAATGCAATAAGTAGAATCAGGTGTTGGGGTACACACGCCCAGAATTGATGGAAGCCCATCAAACGGGCAACTCCTGTCCAGGTCTGCCAGGAAGTGTCCTGGAAGGGGTAGCACCTGAAGCAGAGTCCAGAAAGAAAAGAATTTGGATAATAAGAGAAACAGCAGTGGCACTCTATGCAGAGAGGATGGTGTGACAAGTATTTAGAGACTTGTCCACGTTAACACTGTGAATGCCAAGGCCTGGATGGAGTCATAAAAGTTCTTGCAAAGACTTGAGTCCGTGGTGTACAAGAGGATGTGGCCGAAGCAGAGGCTTCCTAGCCAACTGGACCAGTCTTCTAAATTCACAAAGTGCTTATTTTTCACTGACATTCCCTCTGTGTCCTTAGCACCTGGCTCAGCGGCAGACACCTAACCCGGTGGCTGGCATGTGAAGGTGTTCAGTAAATAACTGTTTATGGATGTATAATTTGTCCTGCGGGAGGAGGGCCTCTGTATGCTCCAAAATTTCCTCCCAATCATAGGTTTCTAAGCTGCACATTATTATAGCAGAAAGCAGCCTTTGCAAATATTGAAGCCCACCATTGGCTTTTGCTATGACACATATAGTCTGATCCAAGATTTTTGCTCTTTCTCCTGCCTGTGATTAAGCAGACATGGGCCTGTTGCCTAATGAATGCCTGTTTAAATCTGCACTGTTAAACCTTCCCTTGTGGTTGCTGGGGGCCGGCGGTGGGGGCAGGGGGCGGGCAAGGGAGTTCTGGCAATCACACTCCAAGTCACTATATAATGAGCTTCCACCTTGGTGGATCCCAGACCCAGCAAGATCCTTCCCCCTTGCCCTCTTAATTAATGTCTGAAGACCTAGCCAGTAGAAACCTTTCATTTTCTAATCCCCTTGGGGATAAACACTTCATTCTTTTTCTACCAATCTGGACGTCGGGCAGGTCAAGGGACCTGGGCCACAGGAGTGACAGCAGAGGCGTAGGGAGATAGCAGGCCCGGGATCTGAGTTCTAAGTTGCTGGGAACTACTTACCTTTTATGAGGACCAGGCTGTTGGGAGGATCGACTGAGCTAAAGTGTGTGAAGGGCTTAGCCCTTGCTAGGCTGGAATAGTGATTGTTACTATTATCAGCCATGAGGATATGAGGGCGGAGTTCTTTGACTGGTACTAGAATGGAGGATGTATTAGGATCCACCAAACAGAGGTTACAGAGACCCTTCCCTGCTGCAACCCAAGCAGCTCCACTTTTCTCGGTTTTTACGTATTAGTTGTTACGCAGACTTCTAGGGGGGAAAAAAAGGTTTCACATATATATGTGCTGTGGTCTGAGTGTTGATGTCCCTCCAGGATTCATATGCTGGAAACTAATAGCAAATGTGATAGCATTAAAAGGCAGGGCCTTTTGGAAGTAAGTCACGAGGATTCCGTCCTCCTGAATAGGATTAGTGGACTTACAAAGGAGGTTGAGGGGAGCTGCCTTGTCCCTTCCACCTTGTGAGGACACAGCAAAAGGCACCATCTTGAAGCAGATAGTAACCCTCAACAGACACTGAACCTGCTGGCACCTTGATCCTGGATTTCCCAGCCTCCAGAACTGGGAGAAATAAATTTCTATTACTTATAAATTATGTAATCTAAGGTACTTTGTTACAACAGCATGAACAAACTGAGATGATACGTTTGAAAACCACTGTCAAGTCCAGCTCTTACAACGTTTGATAAAGCAACTAAGGTATAGAGAGGAAAAGGCCTATAAAGGCCCAGAGTCACCCAGACAGTGGAGTGTGAGCTGAACGAGCAACGTGCAGGAGCTCTGCAAGCGCCGGCCCTGCACAAACTCCAGGGTTCTTACTAAGCCGACTCTTGATTGCAATCCTAGGTCCCTTTCATTGTGGCCTTCTTCCCCGACCCAGGCCGTCCTCTTCAGTGACTAGCTCAGTGACCAATATCTTGCAGATATTATTTTTCACAGGTATCAGATAATATCTGCAGTAATTATGGATTCTCAGTCACACATCAGATGTCTTAAAAAGTGTGCCTATTCATCATCCGTGACTTTTAGATGTATACAAGTTGCATAATTGCCCAGTGTCCCAGAAGCAAACAAGGGCCAAGAAATTCAGCTTTGAGCCTGCATCCCTCAGTGAGCCCATAAATGGCCCTTGTCAGGTAGGTGTCATTTCTGTGCACTTGAATCCCCAGCCATACACATGACCCCACTGTAGGAACCAAACCCCGAACAGAAGACCTTTCCTAAGAGATGAAAGGAAAGACAATACAGGAAGCGACATTCATGCAATTCACAGATCAGTCTCTCAAGGAAGGTAGCAAGCTGCACACATGAGTAAAGTGAGCCTGAGAGAGGTTAAATGAATTGAAGGAGAACATACAGCTAATACATGGTGAATCTTTTATTTAAACCCAGTTGTCACACTATCCCCAAAGCTGTTCCATGCTGATACCTCTCTGCAGAGAGAGGCAAATACTAAAACATGGGAGCTATTAGCAAAGCTCCTCCCCTCTCTTCTTCCCACCCATTCTGGGAATGTTTTCTGGAGCTCCCAGACCCAAGGGAAAAGAGAGGAGATGAAAATATAATTGAAGCTGAATGAATTTTTCACCTTTCCCTGAACTTAATCACAATTCAACTAGATTTGGAGAGAAGCCTTTGAACACCTAAATCTTCTTCCTTCTTTAGGGAGAAAGTCTCTCTTCTCTTCACCCAGACTGTTAACACTTTTAAAGAATGAGCATGATTTTAGTCTGCTTGGGTGGTATAACAAAATATCATAGATGGGGTGGCTTAAACAACAGATGTCGGTTTCTCCCAGTTCTGGAGCCTCAAAGTCCAAGATCAGAATGCGGGCACACGGGTCTCACTGGGTTAAAATCAGGTTGTTGGAAGGGCTGTCTTTGTTTCTGTAGGCTCTGCAAGAGAATCCATTTCCTTTTCTTTTCCAGCTTTTAGGGGTCAGCTCCATTCATTCACTCCCCTTCTCCAGCGACACAGCATCTCTGGCGCTGCTTTCATAACCACATCTCTTCCTCTGATCCTTCTTTTGCCTCTCTGTTCAACTTTTAAGGACTTTTGTAATTGTACTGGGCCCACTTGGATAATCCACATTAGCCAGGATGGTCTGGATCTTCTAACCTCGTGATCCACATGCCTCAGCCTCCCAGAGTGCTGGGATTACAGGCATGAGCCACCATGCCCAGCCAACTTAGGATATTTTCAATTTACAATGGTAAGTAAAAATGTCACCCCACTATGATTCAAGAAAAAAAAGAAGTCCTTTCCCTTCCTGATCAGATGCTGTATGGAGCCCTGATGGCACTCTGGGTTTCTTGGGATCAGTGTCAGTCCCACCTTGTGTCCACAGGTCTTTGAAATGTGTAGATATTCCTGTTTCCCTAGTGTACAGTTGCCCAGGTGAATGATGGTAGTTCCTTTGGTGGAAGGAGTGAGAAGTTATTAAAGTATATATGTATATATAGATTATATATCTAGGTTATGAGGCTATTAACAGAAGCTATTGACCTGACATCCCAAGAGGAGGCTTTGAGAGGAGCCATGTTGTCTTGCAAGGTAAATGCATTTGCAAATGTCTATTAAGTTGGTACAAAAGTAATTGCAGTTTTTGCCATTAAAAGTACACAGGAGAAATGCCAGTTCTTAATGGGAAAGGGAGAGCCACTTTTTTTGGGCTTTGAGGCTCCAAGATTCCTGGGAGCTAAAAATCTTTGGGGAAAATTCACCAAGATGTATTAGGAATGCAGATTTTCCCAAGTAGGGGCATGAGTTTGGCAAAATAGACCAGGGTTGGCTGAATGTTTGGCTGCTTTGACGCTCTGCACTAAGCATTAAATCCTGAATTTGAATTTCAGCATTTTGTTTTTTCCCACCATAAAAAACTGAATGCTTATGTCACTCCAAAATGCATATGTTGAAATTTTAACCCCTTAGGTGATGGTATCAGGAGGTAGGGCCTGTGGCTTTTAATTAGGTCATGAGGGCAGAGCTCTCATGAATGGTGTTGGTGCCCTTATAAGAAGAGGCCAGAGAGCTAGTTTGCCCTCTCTTCCTCAGTTGAGGATACACTCAGGCATTTGTCTGCAAACAAAAAGAGAGGCCTCATCAGACCCTGACCACACTGGCACTCCAATGTCAGACAACTTCTGTTATTTATAAGCCATCCAGTTAAAGATATTTTTATTATAGCACCCTGAATGGACTAAGATACCCACTAACCCATTTTAAGAGCTTTTCTGTAAGCTACCCAAGAGATCC